TGGAAGTTGAGATGTTGAAAAAGTGCACGCCGTTGTGGCGCGAAGCACATTTCGAAGTCAAAATGTTAAAATCACTAGGGTTTCGGACCACTTTTTGAGGGTCAGATGTCGCTTCGCTTCGCTTCACTACACTACATTACACTACACTCCACTACACTACACTACACTACATTACACTACACTACACTCCGCTACACTACAACTACAACTACACAACTACATCCACTACACTCCACTACACTCCACTACACTCCACTACACTAAATTACATTACACTACACTACACTACATTACACTACACTACACTACCTTCCACTACACTTCACTACACTCCACTACACTACACTCCACTACAACTACACAACTACACTCCACTACACTCCACTACACTCCACTACACTCCACTACACTAAATTACACTACACTACACTACGTTACACTACACTCCACTCCACTACATTACACTACGCTACACTTCACTACATTACACTACACTACACTCCACTACACTACAACTACAACTACAACTACAACTACAACTACACAACTACACTCCACTACACTCCACTACACTCCACTACACTAAATTACACTACACTACACTACGTTACACTACACTCCACTCCACTACATTACACTACACTACACTTCACTACATTACACTACACTACACTACACTACATTACACTACACTACACTCCACAACACTACAACTACAACTACACAACTACACAACTACACAACTACACTCCACTACACTCCACTACACTAAATTACACTACACTTCACTACATTACACTACACTGCACTACACTACACTACATTACACTACACTACACTACATTACACTACACTACGCTACCTTCCACTACACTTCACTACATTACACTACACTGCACTCCACTACATTACAACTACAACTGCAACTACACAACTACACAACTACACTCCAGTGCACTCCACTACACTAAATTACACTACACTAAATTACACTACACTACACTACATTGCACTACACTACACTTCACTACATTACACTACACTCCACTACACTACACTACATTACACTACACTACATTACACTCAATGACACTGCACCACAGATAGACAGGTAGACAGCTAGACGGATGAAGGAGAGAGAGAGAGAGAGATAGATAGATAGGTAGGTAGGTAGGTAGATAGGTAGATAGGCAGAGAAAGAGAGAGAAATAGTGAGAGAGATCAATCACCTTTCGCTCCATCAGTGGCTTCGCTCTATCCCTGATTCACAACAAACAGCCTCTCCTATAGGTTTCCTATTTTTGAAACTTCCGCCACCGCCTTGTGCGGTACTACTGGTATATTCATATCCAGATACGTTCAGCAGCTCATAGAAGGTCTCAGAAATGACACAACCATTGGAGACAACAGAGACCAAGACCACACAGGTCTCCATGATCTGCACAGCTGCTTTGTTTCTTCCAGGGACAGGGGCAGTCATTTTCTGGAGCGTGACACCTATGACAGTGCTTTCAGGCGGGTCTTTGGTGCTGTTGCGATTTCCGGCATCGGTTGTTTGATCATGAATTTGTATCCAGTTAGTGCGTCGAAGTTTGAGTTCTGACCAATTTTCACACGTTTTGAGGACCTGTCAGAGCTATGAGCCGTTTTGATCAGGACATACTATCGAGTATTCGTCCGAAGATGCACCAGAAAGGCGGAAGTCTTAGGGACGAGGACTGGGACGACCTTGGGACGACGAGTTCCGGTTGGAATCAACTCGGATGCCACTGCCACTGAGGATGTGGTCCAGTAGTCCCCTGTTTTCGCGCATCGTTGCTGCTGCTTGCGTGCAACGCGTGGCGCAAAATTCGTGCGCAATGCATGGCTGCATCAAGTTTCAACGAAGACGAAGAAGATCGTCTTGGGGACTGCCCATGTGAAGAACATTGGACTTTCTACGACACCTCTAGGAGACTTGGAGCAGTTGGACTTCATTGGACTTCATCGGGCATTCTCAAATGGGCACCATCAACATGCATTCAATAGCAATTCGGGCGCTGATGCGATGAATGCATGGCATGGCAGCTGCATATTTTGCAGCATTACTGGTTGGCCTGAGAGTTTGGAGGAATTCACCTCAAAATTTGCTGGGTTCTGTCGCGGAACTCTCCTGTTTCGAGGCAAACCACAATCTGCACACTTAGAAAGTCCACAACATTGTGGCCTCTTTCTTAGCCTTTTGAGCCTTGAAGAAGCTGCGTTCCAAAGATGGTGTTGTGATGAAGTGAACTTGCATCCAAGGATGAATTCAATGACCATTCGCAGGAAATGAATCTCAAATTTGAAGAAGAATCAGAAAAAGGAGGATTCAGAGAAAAAGAGAAAAGAGAAAAAGTCCAGAAAAAAGAAGAAAGACGAGAAGAGGATAAAGGCCTCAGAAGGGAAGAAAGATCTCAAGCTGGTCTAGTCAGGAACAGGTCTAGATCCAGACCCAGAGGTTGTGGAAGAAAGTCATTCGAGCTGCAAAGAAGGTGAAGAGGAAGGCCAAGAAGAAAAGAAGGAGAAGCTCCAGCACAGGATCTTCAAGTACGTCCAGCAGCAGTTCCAGCACGGAGGAGTTGATGCTGGACACAGAAGTGTTGGAGGGGCAGCGAGAAAACCTCAGGTTGTGGAGGCGTACTCCCGGGGCTCTGGCATTGGGCACCATCCTGGAAGCCCAGCAAACCCTCTTGACCAGACAAGGGGTGCATCCAGATGTCCAATCAGGGGAGTTACCGCCGGTGATGGTTCAGTACTTCAGGAACCATTTACAACCAGTGATGACACCGGCTGTCAGCAGAGAGAGCCACCACTGGGCGATGCTCTTGGACTTGCTGATCAAGGGCGAGATTGCCAGAGCCGCAGATTTGGGGTGCCAGCGGCTGAAATCCTTGGAAGGGTACGCCAAAGGGGTGACCCTGGATGTTGCCAGGAACCTAGAACTGGTTCCATTGGAGAGAACGTCGCTGGCCTCTCCTACAGAAACCATGCAGGCAGGCCGTGTGGCAGCAGAGGAGTTGAAGATTGCTCAGAGGACCAGGTATACCCCGAAGTGGGGAGAACCCAGTGGAAGCTATCAAGGAGGCGGAAAGAAGGGCAAGACAAAAGGAGAAGGCAAAAAAGGACGGCAGGAAGGGAAAGGCAAGAAAGGGAAAGAGGACGAGAAAGACAAGGCTTCTTGAGGAGAAAGGCTTTATCAAAGTTGTATTCAAGGTATCCTAAAGGTACATTGGAGGCAAGAACATAGCCAAGAAACTTGTATTTTTATAAAGGTACAATAAAAGTATATTGGATGGCATTTAAAATGTATATTGAAGATGTATTACATTGTATTTCAAAGACATATTAAAGGTATCTTGAAGATATGTTTATGGTCAAAAAAAGTATATTAAAGGTATATTGAAACTATAGCAAGGGTATAGTCATTGCATTTAAACTATGTTTGATCAAAGCATGTTTCTTACTCTGTTACCTCTATATACTTCATCAAAAAACGAAAAACCATGGTCATACAAGAGAAATGAGAGGAAGGCTGAGCTTCATTAAAGAATGTATTGCATCCTTCCACACATGATAGTTTTTTTTGCAACAATAGTGGTTCTTTTTTAAGGGAATATCTTGGCTTCAAGGCAGATTTGTAACCTGTAAGCAGCATTTTCCTGTAACAACATTTTTCTTCAAATCAAATGCTTTGAAAACTTGGTTCTTCCCATCTTCCCAATGTTTCTTTCTGCATCTCTAACAAACAAATATGACAACATATCCTTTGCCAAAAGGGTGCTTCAGGGTGGGTATTGGAGGGGTAAGAAAAAACAGTGAAAAAGGTAGTTTTTTTTTTGGGGGGGGGGTAGCATATATATATATATAAATGTGAATATACATACATACATACATACATTTATATATATATATATACATTCTTATCTAGTATTATTTGTGTTATTACTAGTATTATTATTATATTAAATAAATATATATATATACAAATGATCATAAATGTATTAATGTAGTTGGCTGGCGACTTGTAGAACGCCGCCAGCTTTCGTGTGCTTTCCTGCCTGTGGGGTGGGGTTGGGTGGGGTGGGTAAAAAACGTCTTGTTCACACTGCTTCTAACACGCTCTTGCTGCTACGCTCTTCACTTCGTCAAGTACCTTCCAACACGCTCTTGATGCTACGCTCTGCACTTCTTCACCTACCTTCCAACGCGCTCTTGATGCTATGCTGTTCACTTCTTCACCTACCTTCCAACGCGCTCTTGATGCTATGCTGTTCACTTCTTCACGTACCTTCCAACGCGCTCTTGATGCTATGCTGTTCACTTCTTCACGTACCTTCCAACGCGCTCTTGATGCTACGCTCTTCACTTCTTCACGTACCCTCCAACATGCTCTTGATGCTACGCTCGTCACTTCTTATCTTTTTCACGTACCTTCCATTGCGCGCCATTCCCCGTCATTTGTCCCAAGTCGCGGGAACACAATGTATTGATCGCCATTGGCGAGGTTTGAAAGAATTCATTGGATCCGGTTTCCCTCGCAAGATGAAGGGAAATATGGGATCCAAGCTTCCTTCACCCTGAGATCGATAAACTAGTCAAACAATGGCTGTACAGAACGTGGACACCTTCCTCAGGTCCAAATGATGTCTGTTGAAATTTGACTCAAGTCATGAAACGCATGTGAAACAAAGATTTGGAAGTCTGACACAAAGAAATTCAAAAAATAAAGTAGCTTGGCACAGGATTTAACAGAGTCCAAAAAAAGGATCCAGACATAAATCCTTGAGAAAACGCACGCACAATGAATTCACCACGGTTGGAAGAATAGGCGGCGTTCTGTGAGCTGCTTCCATGTAGTTACGTTTAAGTCCGAAAGCCGAGGCCACCAACTCTCGCGAGCTGGGGAAGTTCACTCAGCTGGGCTTTCGGGTGGCAACACGGCTGCACGATGTATGCACGAATCTACGCACGATCTTCAAATGCGATGGATTCGGGAAAGATTCCATGTGATTCGATAGATTTCTACAGGCGGTTCATGGCATTTCGGTCATTTTGATCATTTTGGGTGAAATCTGTAGCCATGCTAATTGGAGACGCTCGGAGAATTTTGGAGAAAGATCATTGTTGTCAATAAGCAGTTGGACACTAACGTCTATGGATTATTTTTGGTACACGGATGTACACGGTGTAAATACTGAAGTGGTGTTTCTTGCAGTTTGGTGACATGCCCGATCAAACTGATCAAACATGACCAAACAATGTCCCCAGTCAATGATTGGAATGTTCAACAGTATTTCGCAACATCCAACAATATTTGAATTGGCACTATACATCGCCGTGAACTGATGGTATCCAATTACCAATATCGATATTTAGTTGGTAGTCAGACAAGTTAATGTTTAGTGATCGTCAACCGTGTTCATTTTATGTCATCTTATTATCCTGATCGATATATTGACAATTTGGATGAGGATATTTTTATGATGAAATGAGAGGAAATTCATACATTGATAACATATTTGCGGCATCCCTGGCCCTGGCCATCCCAAGAGCGCCACGAGGTTGACAGCGATATTGGCGCCACCTTGGCGGTAGAGGAAGAGCATCGGAGTCAGCTGACCTTTGAGGCGAAGACTGCGAAGATATGGCGGAATGGGAAGCTATGGCTACTCTGGTCTCCAAAATAGTCGGTAAATGGGTGATTTTCCTCTGGTTTGATGGCCCAAGAAATCTGGTTTAGGATTTAGTCATATTGCAAGTGGAAACTCCAGGCGATGCAGCTACAGTATGGGTCCAAATTTCGCACCCGGAGGACGCAGATTTTAACCGGTTTAACCTCTTTCTGTTATTGACCTTCCAGTTTTAGACAAACCGTGTTTTTTTGGCAATATATTGGGGTTCCAATGTGAAAGCAGGGTCCTGAACCAAATGATGATTGGGGATCATAGTGCCATGTTTTGAAGAATTCATCTTCCCAACTCCTCCTGTTGAAAAAAGTTTGGACGCAAAACTTCCACGAACTAAAGATGTTGAACATATTTTAGAATGGTTCTGCTGATGTGCGTTTGAATTTGGTGGGTTTGTGCGTTTCTAGGGAACATTTCGCAAGCTTTGTGTGCTCAAGTATGCAAGTGAGAGATTGCACCAGGGACATGGGAGACGACAGAATTCCAGTGCCTTTTCTGAGTCTTTTCCCTCTCTGTTGGAGGCTGTCGTGATCATGTGTGCCATCTACAAGTTAGGCAGGGCAAAATTCCTGGATACCAAGAACCATCGAACATTTTGAGAATGTTGCAGAGTGTTGCAGACTTTCCATGTCTCAGGTGATGGATACTGGCGCATTGGATCCATGAACGTCACTTGCTCCGACCTCGGCAAGACGGATAGCATTTTAGGACCCGCTGTGTAATGACGAATTCAGATTCGCATCATAAGATTCTGACAATTTCTGAAATATGCTGAACAGAGGCAGTGGTTCACCACGTGACTTGAAAGCGGCTTTGTCAAAGCTGGAGCAGCAAGAGCCTCAGAGCGCGATGTCGCGTCATGGAAACGAATCAGTAGAATCAGTGCAGATATGTCGTTTAAATTCAAATTGTTAACTTCTTTCCTGCCGTCCCTCGTGGTCACTTCCAACAACTTTGGGAGAAATCATCCAACACACTCCGCACGGCGTGAAATAGGTGAAACACAAGCCCTGGCACTATGTTGAGCACTTTGGCCCTGACCCCCCACTAACAGTTCAAAACTGCCACCACCTAAAAAAACATCTTGTTTTGGTTATCAGAAAATGTGATCTAGGTGGGCAGTACAAGTACAAAACTGCCACCACCTAAAAAAACATCTTGTTTTGGTTATCAGAAAATGTGATCTAGGTGGGCAGTACAAGTAAAAAAGGGTGGAATAAATGAAACCAAATGGTCCCATCCCCAGCCCCATGTGAATTTTATGGGGTCATAGTATGTGGTGCATTGTGAATGTTGGGAATTGTTTTTACTTACCTGTACATTGGTTGGTTCCACCATCAGGGATTGTGACGGTCCTGGATGCCCCCTTCTGATGTGGTCCCTTCTTTCCTCTTCCATTCCAGCCCACTTCACTTGGTTTTATTTGGAAAGGGTGAAAAACCTGTCAACCAACACAAGAATACAGAACCCAAATGCCAACAAGTGCAGTGTAAGATGGGTTTGTGAGGGTTGATAAGATACAACAGGGTGGTTGGATTCATGGTCTTTGGCATTAAGCAGTCCATACAGTATGAACAGAGAATCTTTGGTATGATATGATATGATTGGATCGGGACAAAAACCTACTTTTGTTGAAACTCTTTGGAGCCCGTTTTTTTTGGCTCGGCTTTCAATTGCACGATTTCTGTTGCTTTGCCAGGCTTGGCTTTCCTCGGAAGCACGAGACCTCATCGCAGGACTTGTCAGTGTCACTTCAAAACAACTTTGCTCGGAAGGTCTCGGGAAGGTCTCGGAAGGTCTCGGAAGGTCTCGGAAGGTCTCGGAAGTGCGATGTCTTCAAATGTCTTCCAGTGACAGGCTGGCTTCGCTGGTTTTCGAAGCGGTGTTCTTTTGGCGCAGGAGCACTTGGTAGTCGAATCTGTGAGACGCTACTTGGAGTTACCACGCTCCAGTGCAACTCTCTCAGACATCGAGCCAAAGAGACTGACATGGCAACCAACATAGACTGTCAAAGACAGTCAAAGAGTTGACAGTTGGCATCATTCATGAATCATGGAATCATAATATACACATCGCACCATTTTCTTGAGGTGAAAGCTGCCAACGTCAACATCGATAGCCCGAATCCTAGTGCATCCTGGCGCATGCAGAGCTGGCACAGCATTTGGTGACTTTAGCGTTTTCGCTCATAAGTCATCAAATGAGGCATAATGAGACCTTATTTTTTTCTCCCGATTTTCCAAGACCTCGTCAGCTCCGTTGACCCAGATCTGAGGCTCCAACACAATGACCATCCAGTATGCCATTGAGGTGGCACCTTGCAGTGCCTTGCAGGGTTGTTTGATGTAGTCACATGTGGTCACATGTGGAATGACACTGAAGAGATTTCATTTCTCGTCCGATTTTATTGTTTCACGATGTTTCACATGATCACTGATCATTATCACATTGGTACGCTTTCAATTGTTCTCAATCACGCGCAGAATCACCATTGCTTTCAATTATTCAGCATTCAGCAATCCTGAAGTGCTCTTGTCACTCTCGGAATCAGGTCCTGCAGACTGATGGTGCCCCAGCTTAAGTGATGATCTTCATTGGTTTTCCGTGGTTTTCCATATTTGCTGATACCTGGTCGCATTTCTGGGTTTCGACAAATCTCATAGGCATGGACCCATCCCCCCCGTCCCCACATCATATGTCATTGTGCTGAGATGTGGACGCGACGTCCAGAGGCTGGATGACTGGCATGTGGATTGAAGCTGTTTGGGAAATAGGGCGCCCCCAACATGCAAAATGCCGTTGATCGTTGTTGATCATCCATTTCAGCATCGCATCAAGGTTGCACTTTTGATCATGGAACTTCATGATTTGATAACATTAAAGCAGATTAAAGCAACATAAACATCCTTGTGTACCTATATAATTGGCGTATCACGCATTTAATTATATACTGTAGACAAAAAACAGCGAAAACATGAGTATATACAGATATCATCGTATCATAATGTATCATTATATACAAACACTATTGTTTCATACATGAGAAAAGAATCAACAATCCTGCAACATTTGTTCAATTTATTCGTTCTTGCCGCATGCTTGCAGTATTTCAGGCGAAGAATTGAAGGAGCGGCTCAGCAACGGACTCCACGATGCCATCCTTGAGGACGACCTGACCATCGATACCCGCAATGGTTGCAGCTGTGAATTTACAGTTTCTCAATGTTTCTCAATGTTTCCCAGTTTCTCCATATTTTTCTGTTTGGTTTCACATGACTGAGGAGATGTTCAAATTCACCAATGAAAAGGTGAAACCCGAAAGGCTCAGGCATGAAGCCAACAGACTGTCAAGACTCTGTCAAGCACCGACATTCTTCACTGCACTTCGATGCATTGCTTGACACTGCTTGACAACTCTGACTTGGTCAGGGTGCTTCCCGTGATTACCAAGTCATTGAGCCACCTGTTCATCGAGGTAGGGACATGGGCACACGAAATAGCAAACATCAGAGCAACAGCAACCTGAACATCATAAAATTAAATTAAAGGACCGGATAACCCCACATGTTACCAACTTCTTTAGACTTAGACTGACCATAGAAAAGCAAGAAGGGAAGAGGAAGCATAAGAGTGATGGAGCGGTGATGGTGGTTGAGTTTGTGTGTATGTATGTATGTTCATGTACAGTGAGTGAGTGAGAGTGTGAGTGAGTGATGTGAGTGTGGTGTGTGTGAGTGAGGGATGTGAGAGTGAGTGAAGTGAGTGGAGTGGAGTGGAGTGGAGTGGAGTGGAGTGGAGTGGAGTGGAGTGGAGTGGAGTGAAGTGAAGTGAAGTGAGTGGGTGAGTGAGTGAGTGGGTGAGTGAGTGAGTGAGTGCGGTAGGTGAGGTAGGTGAGGTAGGTGAGGTAGGTGAGGTAGGTGAGGTAGGTGAGGTAGGTGAGGTAGGTGAGGTAGGTGAGTGAGTGAGTGAGTGAGGGAGGGAGTGAGTGAGTGAGTGTGTGTGTGTGTGGGGGCAACCCCTGTTCCGAAGGGCTTTTATCACATGTCCAATTTCTAGTTACAGTTCCCAATCTACAAGCAGGGGCACACGGCATCCTTGACCCACCGTGTGCAACGAAGCTACGGTCTTGGATGGGATATCAGGGCTGATCACCCTGACGTACCTGCAGTTGGTCACGATGTTCTTTCATTATCCAAGCTTTTTGATGACTTTCCGGTTATTCTTTTGTCATATGCATGAATAATTCGAGAAATCGGAGTCCGTTACGCATTTTTCAGTATTTACCCATTTCTGCGACTTTTGTCCAATGTGGACAAAGACGGCCTTCCTGAACTAAGCATGTAAACAGCAGAATCAGTTCAGGTATACCCTGTCGGGAATGAAAAGACTCATAGACGAGATACGGTCTTTCAAGTGTGTATTCGGCAGAGATTCCGTCATGGTCCTGTCGTGATCCGGTAACTGCCGGCGTGTGAACAGTATCCCTCTGATTTGGCTTCGGCCCTCAACTTTTTCACCACCAAAAAATGGGGGTATGTCTGGTCCTTGTCCAGAAAAAAACAACAAGGCAATACCACTGGGTCGTTTTGACTATGAATCGTAGCCATCGGTATTTCTTTGAACCGTATCCGATATGATTTGGGACTAATTTTCCCTTCCGTCCCCTCGAGATGAGTAATTCGTGTTTATCGCGTTTAGCCTTCCAACGATTCAAAGGCCAGATTCAGACAGATCTACCCTCCGGACAATTTTGTCACCCGTGAATGTTTTTATAAGCCCGCGTTCCTCGACAGACCATAATGTCTCCCCTCCCCCCTCCCCCCTTTTCCCTTCCGTCCCCTCGAGATGAGTAATTCGTGTTACGGAGTTCCACTTTCCAACGGAGATCGAAGATCTCCATGGAAATTGTCGTGCATGTTTTCTCAGGCGTTGAAGAATCTCTGAAAAATCTCTGAAAATCTCTGATTGCACTTTGTGCCTCTGAATTACTCTGATTCACTCTGAACATTCGGGGTTATTCCTGAACAAAGGCTTTCGGGCCCTCCTCTGAAACAACTATGAGTCGCCAAAAGAACAAAGTAGAAGAAACAGCAATACAACATTTAGACTTACTCGTAGGACGGATCAGTGAGAGTTTCGATGCAGTGATTTCACGGTACTTCAGCTTTCAGTTTCTGTACAGACATCCTGGCTCAACCGACATGTTTTTCACGTTCATTCATGAAGCCAATCACTGAAAACGTATCACACGTTGATACTTGTACAGTTGACCTTTTCTAATTGTATGTTGTCATGGTTTTCCATTTTCCATTTTCCATTTTCGACACGTAGAGTTGCAGCCATGTCATACAATGTGTTTTTTAATTGCAGGGGACCACAGCCGTCAGGCGGCTAAAGCACCACCGCCTCGCGCACCGGCTGCCGTGGTTCCGACGTTGAGACCCAAGAGTGAGGTCAGACCTCCGCTGCCAATTACTGATGGTACTGCAAGTTTCGACCCTCCTAGAAGACCACCGGGACCAATGTCTGTAGTCCTTGAAGGTGTACAGAAAATCGGTAGACCGCCAGCTGCACCGAGAAGTTTGGCACCTTTACAACGTCCACCACTGAGATCCTCGAGATCTTCTTGATCCCGTAGACCTCGTCAAACGAGATCTAGATCCGATAGCCGTGCACGATCTCGGTCCCCAGGACCTAGTGTCAGTGAAGTTCGATCAGAGGCTCGCTCTCTACGCAAGCCCATCATACATACCCACCAGGGGATTGGGAAACTTCACTAAGAGTATTTGATATTTACGGTCACAGCGGCCATTTTCAAGAAAGACCTCCACCGCCGCCACCACCCCGTCCGGTGGTGCAACAGACCGTTCGTAGTGCTCCGAATGCATCTTTGAGTGCGCCTTTAGGCAGTGCTCCTTTTAATGTGTTTTCCAGTAGTTTTTCGATTCCGAGCACGCCGTCAGGCCATGTCCAGCTAAAATGATCATGAGTATTCCTTGTTTGAAATCCTTTTGAACCAACAAGTCAAGGAGCATCCCACTTCTGAAGCCTTTTTGCAAAATGTAGCCAAGCTACTGGCACAGGCTGACATTTTGTCACAAGATTTGGGACCCATGAGAATGGCCACGTACGATCCCAGCTATTTCGGATGGAATCAGGGATCTGACCAACCGGCTCCAATGGAGCATTTTTACCTTTTGCCGATCTCAATTTTGCATGATAGAGCCAACCTTCCAACGGGGATGCCACCGACACCAAGGTCACGGGCGGCACCAGACCGAGGCCTCGATGAAATCATCCATCTGGCCTTCACGCATGCCACAAAACTTGGTAATTTTGTTGCCATTCTCAAAGAAGGTAAGCTGGCACCTAGCAAACTCCACTTTGCGGAAAGTGAAAGTTTCTTTGCTCAGGGATTTAAAGTAGGATGCACCTCGTTGGAGGCGCACGAATTAGGTCGTATCTTGCACAATGGGACGAATCTCAGCAAGAACGAATGCGGTGCCATATTTGTGGGCCTAGCCTGGGGCACAGGCAAAACTGTGCACAATGGAGGAGAGGGTGAGTGCATTGACCTCACCCGTGGCCCGAATTCGCAAGGATGCGTGCATCACAAACGTGGCCGCATGTGGGTGATGAACACCCACTGTCACTATTTGACAGGCATTGCTTGGCGATCGGATACCCAAGCTCCGGTCAGGTTTTTTGAATTTCATTCAGCTTGATTTTTCATTCGATATTGAATTAAACTTGACATTGGACTGAATGCCATAATGGCTCAGATCATCACTTCGACCGATTTTCTTGAGCAGGCTCAAAAGTCGTGCTCATTTAATTCAACACATGTACCCGTAGTCACCAATCCCAACGTCTTTGCATGAATTAGCACCGCTGTATGTACAAACAAGAATTCATTCTTCAGACATTGACAGTGTATGGCCCTGCCATTTCTCCATTTTGAAAGCTAATTACGCACTGATTTGAATTTCCGTCAGACTAGAAGTGCAGGACTCGGAAGTTAGACCTCTTTGACACTGTCGTATTTGGCAGTGACCACAATGAACGATCGTGGAGCAGTACGTTTCGAAATTTTGATTCAACCTTGTTTCGAACATCTTGTAGTCAGCTGCGTCGATACGTCGACAATAGGTTTCTCATTGTACAGCAGAGACCACCTTCAGACCTCCGTTTCTCAAGTCTTTATACAGACTTGGATTTTAGTGGCAGTCCAGTTGAACTGGAACTTGTTTTCCTTGCATTCTCATGGTGCATCGGGCTCAAAAGTCGTGCTCATTTAATTCAATACTCGTAGTCACAAACCCGAACTTTTTGCATGAATTAGCACCGCTGCATGTACAGACAGGATTTCCATCTTCAGACATTGACATGTCTCGGCATTGCGATTTCTCCATTGTGCAAGCATGTTCCGCACTGATTTGGATTTTGCGTTAGATTTCTTGAGAAGAATTTCAATTCTTTACAGACTTGGAGTTTTATTTGTTGCAATTCTTGAACAAACACTGATGTCCACACTGCCAGGCATCAGATTTGGGACAATGTATCCGCCGGAACCTTCCGTCTTGGTTTGAGCGGGCTCAAAAAGCCATGCTCATTTAATTCAATACTCGTAGTCACAAACCCGAACTTCTTTGCATGAGTTAGCGCAGCTGTGTGTACAGACAAGAATTCATTCTTCAGACATTGACAGTGTTTGGCCCTGCCATTTCCTCATTTTACAAGCTTGTTTCACATTCATGTGGCAAAGCCTGCAGAAACGATTAACTTTTCCCTATTATACAAGCTTGTGTCACACTCATGTGGCAAAGCCTGCCGAAACGTTTTGGCGTCAGATCCGAAGTGGAAGAATCGGAAGTCAGACATCTTTGACACTGTCAAATTTGGCAGTGGCCACATTGAGCAATCGTGTAGCAGTACCTTTCAAAACCAACATGTTTCAACCTTGTTTTGATCATCGTGTAGTGTAGTCAGATACATTGATACGTCGACAATAAGTTTCTCATTGCACAGAAAAGAGCACCTTCAGACCTCCGCTTGTCAAGTCTTTACAGACTTGGACTTTAGTGGCAGTCCAGTTGAACTGGAACTTGTTTTCATTGCATTCTCACTGTGCATCGGGCTCAAAAGTCGTGCTCATTTAATTCAATACTCGTAGTCACAAACCCGAACTTCTTTGCATGAATTAGCACCGCTGTATGTACAGACAGGATTTCCATCTTCAGACATTGACAGTGCCTGGCCCTTGCCATTTCTCCATTTTGAAAGCTAATTACGCACTGATTTGAATTTCCGTCAGATTAGAAGTGCAGGACTCGGAAGTTAGACCTCTTTGACACTGTCGTATTTGGCCGTGACCACAATGAACGATCGTGGAGCAGTACGTTTCGAAATTTTGATTCAACCTTGTTTCGAACATCTTGTAGTCAGCTGCGTCGATACGTCGACGATAGGTTTCTCAT